GCCAGCAAGCCAGCCAGCCAGCCAGCGAGCGAGCGAGCGAGCGAGCCAGCAAGCACGCAAGCCAGCCAGCCAGCAAGCAAGCGAGCAAGCGAGCAAGCCAGCAAGCCAGCAAGCCAGCAAGCCAGCCAGCCAGCGAGCGAGCGAGCGAGCGAGCCAGCAAGCACGCAAGCCAGCAAGCCAGCAAGCCAGCCAGCCAGCGAGCGAGCGAGCGAGTGAGCGACCGAGCGAGCCAGCCAGCAAGCACGCAGGCACGCAAGCCAGCCAGCAAGCCAGCAAGCCAGCCAGCCAGCCAGCCAGCAAGCAAGCAAGCAAGCAAGCACAACAGAAAGAGGGGGAGAGAGACAGACAGAGTACTTGACGGGGTGTCCGAACGGGAAATGTAGCCATGTCCTGTCTCGTCATGCGTCTTGTTTCGGAGTTGAACAAGCCTCGCCGGTCAGGGCCACCCGCCAGTACTTTCCGTGTCGTAGAGTGAGCCGTAGCCCGTAAGCTCCAGCCCAAGTTGAAATTCGTTGCACGGCTACTGTAGATTCTGGGTGAGTTTGTGAGGCTTTGTCTCATGTGGTTGTTTGCATTGCATATCGGGGCGGAGCATGGGAGAGACAGAAACAACACCTGTCGAGTCCTAGGACACCCCAGCAAACTTCTGAATCTACTGGGGTGTGTGCTAGGTGACATGGTTGCAGTCGCTGGCCGAAACGGGGATGTCGGGGTTGACACTACGGGAAAAACCTTGGCTTCCATTCAACCAACAGGGGTCGCCCACGGGGGAAAGTAGCCATTTTGGCTCAAGGTGCCCGCAGCCAGCAACCCAAACGCAGATGCGGTGCACATAAATAAAGCAGGAAAGATGTCAAACATACAGCAAGCCTCGCTCCCCCTCACCCTTAAAAAACCAAGTTGCGTCCGGACCCTGGTTGCGGATCCGGTTTGCGGCTTAGTGTTCTAAACATCCCCCACGTCTTGCAATGATAACATCCCCTCCGTTCGGAATAAATTTAACAAGAGGGGAACTCCGTCGAGATCTCCTGCTGAGCACCCGTCTTCGTGGGTTGGGGGACTATCTGAGCCCAGAAAGCGTGACGGTGCAGGAGTTTTCGAGCCAAATTCGATGGCCCTCGGCGGAGTTCTCCAAACAAACACCATGGAACTTTACGCGAACCACGTGCCTCGCAGGCGACGGGTGTGTCAGGGGCGATCGAGACCAGTTCAAGCGCAAAAGCAGGCAGTGAGGACACAAGTGCGAGTGCCAATCCGTTTCAAGTGAAACCCATTCGGTCCTATCTTGTTTTCAATGCGAGGATCTCCCTCGATTTGCGTAAAATTTGTAAGTCTGCCTCGACAGACCCCGCTTTGGGAGCGATGCTCACTCAACACTAGGTTCGTCGTTCAGTGCATGTCCTTCTCCCAGGGGAAAACAAACTTCGCTCCGATTTTTGCTGGCACCTACAGATTTTAGTTGATGCAGTCCACGTCCGGGGATATACATCATTCTAACTTCTGGACTTTAGCGTGAACTTCCCTTCGACTGTGCATTGTCGTGTCACCCCTCTCCAAAGATCCAACATCAGGGGTGAGCCGTCGGCTCTGGAGGCCTCCTATGTCCCGGAAACGGAGAGAGAGAGAGAGCGCGAGAGAGAGAGACATAGCTAGAGATAGAGATAGAGATGGAGATAGAGATAGAGATAGAGATAGAGACGTGAGTGGTTCAAGAGACCGATCAGGCCTCCACCCCCTCTTGTTTTCAATCTTCTCCCCATCTTCTTCTTGCTGGATCGGTCTCTCAACCCGGGCGCTTTTGGGGTGGGGAATCTCTCAGCCTGTGAAGCGATTGCTGTCCGTCGAGCAGGGCAAGGTTTGCGCAGTGGGACGAGAGGATAGTCGGGAACAGTTCACGAGGGCATCTCTCCGCGAGGCTTCTGGGCCACACATGCAACAGCTTTGTAACGAGAGGGCGAGCCTATGAGCTTGTGGTGCGAGAGCAGGGCCCCAACTCAGACTTCTATGTTGGGCGGGGGACGCCTTCGCCTCAGTGACTGTGTGCTAACCGCAGAACGGCGGGATCGCAAACGTGCCTTTGACCCGCGGGGATGGGTGCTCGTGGTGCCGACCTCGAGACTCGAGCCCAACCCACCACTTCTTTCCGGGTCTTTGGGCTCCTTTGTGCTGGTGCAGGCTACCGCAGCATCCGATTCAGTTGTGGACCGCCCGCCCCTTCTGCATAGGACCAGGCTTGCAACTGACTTGTCGCGTCCTGCAGCCTCGAATTTCTAACCTAGCCGAAGCCCGGAAAACCTGTGCAGAGCCTCTCGGACTCCCGTGCCGGTCGCGTCTTTATCCTTTTTTCGGGTTTCGCAGGCTCCCTTGATTCTTCGGCCGAGTCTCCTCACCGCTTGCAGTGCCTCGGGCCCCAGGCCCGGGTCTCAGACCCCACTGGCTGTGGCAAAATGCGGAGTGCCTGCCTCGTTCCTTGCCATCCGTTCCGGGAAGAGCATTCAGATCCCAGGCGCCTAACCTGGAGGACTTTGGGCGCCCGCCGTGCCCAGCACTCGACTTCAGGAGCGGCGGCCGCATCCTCTGCCTGGCCCCTGCCTTTTCGACAACTTCGCGGCTTGCTGCGCGGCAGTCCGTGATCATGCTGGCGACGGCATGCTGCAAAACTTCCCTGCTTGGCCGAGTGTCGCATCAACTGTGCAGCCGCAAGCATAGACTGCCTTGACATTCAATTGGGAAGCTTCAAGCGTACTTCGAATCGATCGACCACCCTAGTCGTGCTAGGGCCCATTCCGTGCCCGCTGGGCTCAAAACTTCAAAGACAGACGACAATTGTAGCTGCAGCAGCGCACCTCGACGAACAAAAAGTCGCTTCTGCTTTGCTGTCAGGAGAGGTTGGCTCCGGAGCCCTTGCCGAAGCCACGCTGCTGCAAAGTCCCTCTGTGTGCGGGCAGCACAGCTGGCCCAGGTTCGCCCCTGGCCGTCGACCAGGGGCCCCAAGAGGAGGGCGTTTGCCGGAAAAGGATCCAGACCGAACCGCCGACAAGAGAAAGAGTTTTGCCAAGCGCGGCCATGCCATTCACCCCCCGGAAGGCACTCTCATATGAGCTTCTCAGTCCCAGCTGGCGCACGCCAGCGACCTCCTAGCCAATGGCAGCGCGGTCTCTCGGCGCGGCGGACCTGACAGCTCAGGCCATGTCAATGGCAGAGCAGTTTGCGCTGAGAACGGCCGGTACCTAGGCTTCTTTTCCTTTCGCACCATTCTATCTCGATGGCCACGGCTCGCCCGCCTGCAGCCTCCCAACGAATCTCCAGCAGAGGCTAGAGGTATGGGTTGCGGGATCTTGAGTCCAAGATCAACCTATACAGTTCGAGGCTCGAGGCTTCAGGACGGCGAGCACACACGCAGCGATTTCAGGCTTAGCTCGACGGCTCTTGTCCAACAGCGGGAACATCTTCAAGCTGTCTTCTCGTTTGCTGTGCACTCCGGCGCGGGGACCTCTCCGTCGAATTCTTGTGCTGGCAATCAGGTGGTGAAAGGCTCAAAGGCTTATTGATCCCATTGAAATTCCCAGGATGCTCGATCTTCGAACGTCCCTCTTGGTGTGAACGCATCTCAGCGTATGTTTGCGACAGCTCAAGGTCCCCCAGCCCAGATCCGCCCCAAGTCTTTCAGGAAGGAGGATGCCCACAAAAAGCAGGCGGCAAGGAAACTCGCGATCATTTGGAGTTGCTTCGATTGCTCTGTGCGGAGTTCACGCCGGCTGCTCGGGATATCTCGGAATTGCTCGGGTGAAAGGAATCTTGAGCCCCAAAGGATTCGCCAAATCCTTTCGAGGTAGATCTCCACCGCTTTGTGTGATGACCATCCCCCCCTTCTGCCCTCATGTTGTATGATGCGTACAGTACTGACATGTACCGGGTCTATCCTTGTCGTCCTATGGACCGCAACCCTACCCTTGCTCGTTTGGGAGAGATTGACACCAACTGCCACAAATGCATCCTGCACCGCGCTAAGCCGCCAAGGAAAAGGCTGCCCTGTTTCTGATGTCTCGCTCAGCTTTGCAGTCGCACCGCTAAGATTCTTAGATTGTCACATCCGCTGTTTCTGCCAAAAAAAAAGGTGAAGACTGTGTGACTGTGTGTATGATCTTTTAGCAAATCTCACACGAGCGGTGGTGGGCCGGGAAGAGTCGCTGCCTAAGCTAAGGCCGTTTCGCAGTTTCGAGACGTTGCGAGATTCAGGGTGTTGAATGCAAAAATTCTTTTTTGTCAGGGTGAGTCCTGCACCCTCATCCTTACTGAAGGCGATTCGGCCAAGGCTTGGGAAAAACCTGCACCGTAGGGCGCAGGGGCTGTCGAGAGAGCTTCTGAAATGCGAAGGCCCTGGCAGTTGCTGGTCTCGGCGTTGTTGGCCGCGATCGTTATGGTGTTTTCCCACTGCGTGGCAAACTTCGGAATGTAGTGGTTCTCAGTTTTTTCAGGTGATAAATTGAGACCTTGAGTCGAGATGGGTTGAGAAGCTTCTGGCGAATTGCTACTCGATTGAGGTCCGCGAGTTGACAGTGAAGCAGATGCTGGAGAACAAGGAGATCGAGCAGGCACTGATGTTGAAGTGCATTGTGCCGGTATACCTGGTTGTGTCAGAAGTCAAACGAAGCGCTCGGAATGGCAGGTCCTGAAAATCATGGCTTTGGATGCGAGCAAGGCTTGCTCGACTTGTCCTAACCCTTTTTTCCAGCATGTACTGGCCACCTACAGGAACTTAGGAAACTCTCGTCATATCCCTGTCACGGGAATATCTGGACACCGGTCGCATGGTTTGGCTCAAACATGTTCTCAATCGTAGCTCAGAAGCGCATGTGTTTCACTTGCGTTCTTTTCGGCACACGGCATCTTCACCAACACTTGATTGAGTTTTACTGCCTGCATGGCCCGCACAGTTGTCGCTTTCCTTTACTTCCAGTTCACACCCGTGCGGAAATGTGTCTTGCACCGCGACTGCATGGAACACATGCCGTATTGCGGGACGGGTCTGAGTGGAATCCGATCATCTTTGAAGCCCGGGGTTTGTGATGGTATTGGTCTTGGTTTCCTAGTACCCATCCCTTGATGGCCGTGGTACGGTTCGTCTCCAACTTGCTGGACCACTGCAGACTACTTGGCCGTGTTGAGCCAACGAGTTGACATGGCATCCCCATGGATAGAAGTATCAGTGCAAGCAGCGGAAAAGTGCGCAGCTAGTGTCAAGGAGTTTGGATCCCAACCTTGCTCGTTGCATCTGCGAGACCACAGGACGAATATCGCGATGCGAAAGGTCTCCGTTATGGTCCCTCGCTCAGAGATGCCTTTCAGTACTCTTTGGTGTTCCCAGGGCTCGCGACCTCTCGAGGTTCTATTATGATCATGACGGACCAGGACCACGACGGATCCCACATCAAGGCAAGGTCATCCCCCTTTACCGCTAGGAGCTGCTTCTGTTGTGACTTGGAGCTGTCAGGGCCTCATCATCAACTTCATTCAGCACTGGTTCCCTTCTCTTCTGAGGCTTGGCTTGGGCAATGTTTGCAGTGCACCTAGAAGAAAGGGAACCGTGAAGAATGCAGTGGTGCACCCTCTGTCGCAGGTTGCCAGGCTTCCTGAAAGAGTTCGTCACTCCGATTGTGAAGGTTGGCTTAAGCTAGGTCTAAGTTCCTGCCCGGCAGCCAGCATCGCCGTAACACCGCAAGAGCCACCGGGATGGTATGGGAGGGTTGACTTTGCATGATGGCGCCTCTGTAGGTTTGGGCCCGAGAGCCCAGCAGCTACAGTTGCTATTCGCTTTCCTCTTCCCAGCGTACCTTTCCGCCTCCTCCCAACTTTCGTTGCGCTTGTTTTTGTCGCCTTTTTCCTGATCTTCGAGAATGTATAGTATAGCAGTGGATGTTCTCAACCGCTGGCACCATCTCGTGGTGATCATGCAGATGTCGAGCCCAATGTCTTCGACCTTTTCATTCTCTTGGTTCTTCTTTTGTGGCGCCCCTTTCTGGGCCAGGTGTATGTGAACCGCTCTCGTTCATGGGCTATTGGGGGTCATCCCTTTTGCTCTGTCGTTCTTCTTCTACTTAGCAGGGGCCTGAGTCAACCACTGGTGCTCGAAGTTGTTGCATTAGCTCTTTATTGCCGTATTTGCAGTAGACCTTTACAGCGCATTGCCAGACTAGCGACACGCCAGACCTGTATCGTGTCAGACGCATATGCCGGCCCAGCCTGTGCATTACGCACTCAGCGGAGAAAGTCTAGAAAAAGGCGCGGAGGTAGGCTGCACGCACGATTCCTGGCAGGTGCAAATGCCTTTGCACATGATTTCCGACAAACTGGACTTGAAGGGCCCCGTGAACATTCATAGAATGGGCCGTGGTTGTTTCATCGGGAGGCTGAACACCTTATGGCTGAAAGAGCTGAATGCAGAAGAGAAAGAGGGAAGTGCCATTAAAGCGAGCATAAGCGGATCCCTTCATCGAGGATTGCTTCAATCGAAACCACGGCGCCGTGACGGAAAGCCGTTGTATCACTTGTCCAAATGATGCTTGCACTCGTGGACGGCTGGATGATGTTAGTGATGATTTTGTTAACGAAAATGAGATAAGGGTACCAAGTATGCCGGTGTACACAGGATGAGATCATGGGTGAGGGGTATGGTTTCTGCGGCGCTACGCCAGACGCAAAGGATTGTATACAAAACGTAGGTTGGTTGGGAACGGCCCTTTTGTGACATGATTGCTTCAGGTGTTGTTGTGAATCCCGTAGCTCCAGGCCCGAGCCCAAGCAGCACAGGGATTCGATTCTTCTTTTCGCCGGGGGGCCATGGAAGCTTCCATGGCGGAGCTGCTTGTTGCGCATCAGAAGCTGGAGTCTTGTCTTTTTTCTCTGGGCATTCGCAATGTTTGGGATGTCCGCTGGTTCTGGCGAGATGGCAACGATTGTCTTTGCGAACTGGAGAGCTGCGAGGGGTGTCACGTTCGGACATTCAGGTCTTATATCTGACCCGTGTGGCACGTGCCAGCTTGGAGCAGAGTGCTTCGGTGCGATCCATGGTGGAATCACGTGACAGTTCTGTGAGGGATGTCTGCTTATGGAAATCACTTGCTGCAGAGAACCCAGTGAAAAGTCAGAAGACATTGATTCCTTGGCGGCAGTCATCACAGCTTGTGCCGGTTGCTATGCAAAGTGCCCCCCTTTCAGAGGAAGGTCTGTGAACTTTTCCGTTTGGCGGCCACGCATTTCTTGGACTTGCCCGCTTTGGGCCTCACACCGGTTCACTGGGATGATGAAGCTAGCATAGTAGCTGCAGAATCCCTGGCCATGTCTTCGGCTAGCAGATGCAGCACCGGACACCTGTCCCAGGTTACCTCTTGCCTTCGCAGATGGAACCGAGGAGCTATTGGCAAATCCCAGCCTTGTCCAGTTGGCTGCTTTCCTTCATAAAGTTTCGTTTGGGGGTCCTATTGCGGCTTGGAGGTTTTATAATGCCTTGGCTTAGTGCAACAAGCTTTTGGGGGCAGCTTTCCCTTGGATCATTTCTTGACCAAACCTTTTCGATGTTGCGCGGACTTGACAGCAGTCCCCAGCTGGTCGGAGCCTACATCCTTGCCAGCGCTGTGTCTTGCATCAGGTTTCGCCACTTCCAACGGTCAGCTGTTGTTAATGTTCGGACCATGCCGCTACGGCAGGCTGCAACCACCTGCGCCGTTGTATGCCCACGGCGGGTCATCACTTAGGGTCATCACCGGCTTTGACGAGGTAGAAGCCCAGGCCATTGGTTCGTGGACGGAGCCCCGGCGGGCAGTGGACAGTCCAAGGCTAAACGTTCTCAGCCTAGGTCCCGCCACTATGCAGGTGGCAAGGTGTATACCACCTGGCTGGCAAAGCGCAGGGAGTGTGATGCTGTGCCTAGCGTTTTCAAGTCATGCTCATGGCCATGTGCTGAGGGACAGAATCTTCCTCAGCCAGTTTGCATGATGTGGCCTCAGATGGGCAAAATCTCATCGCGAGCCTTGGCTCCTTCGAGGAGGAGTCTCTTCCGCTTCTCCCCGATGAGGGCGACTCATCATCAGATGAATCTTCGTGCAGTGCTGCAGTTTCTAGTGAAAGTAGCGGAGTGGCAGATGCGGCTACTCTAGTGGACTGGATCCTTCAAGGCTCCAAGTGACATGTCGTTCGTGAGCACGATGCTGGGGGCCGGCCTGTGCCGTGGTGCCATGATAGTGCTTTTGCGCAGGATCCATCGTCTCAAGGATCAGGAGTGGACAAAACGTCCTATGGTTTGTGGTGTGCAATTTGTTTGGGTCGGATGCCCGGACCGCAGTCTCGTCGCCTCCAGCTCGAGTGAAAGGTGCTGTGTCATGCTCACGCATGGACCACTTGTGCTCGGGTTGCGAGGGGTCATGCTACCGGCTACTCCAGTGCAGACCAGATGTGTCACTTAGTTTTGTGTGCTCGAGTTCGCATTGGGTCCGCCGCTTGATCCTCGCTTGACTTATGAGGGCTGCGCCAAGGCGTCATGGATCCTGATGGGCTCGCTACTGACCGGCTCAGGAGCTGGGCAGAGGCCATGAGCACGGTCGGATTGCAGCAGATCATCCAGGTCTGTGGAATGCGCCCATCTAGATCGGTGACCAGCAGGGTTCCTCGTCTGTGTCAGGACGGGCTGGGCATGTCAAGCTCGATGACCAGCCGATCCCGTCATGAGCCAACCGAACGATTTGAAAAGCTGTGCTTGGACAGTGCGTATGTGTGGAGTTGGCAAGCAACATTTAGTGCTCTGGTGCTCCCGGCCTTCTGTGTGCCATGTCGCTGTCGTCGAAGATTGATGTCGAGGCCTCGGAGCGAGGCTGCTAACTTGTTCAGGAGGATTGAGCCTCAGCCTTTGTGAAGACCCACCGCCCTGCTTCGCTCGAAGACTTCATCCACTTGGTCAATTCTGAGAAGTGGGAGAAGGACAAGGCTGGGCTGGAAGCTCTGGCTTTCACCAAACAGGTGAGCCTTAGTACGTCGGAGGAGCTGGAGTTGCCCATCCCTGAAAGCAGCTTGACTGGGATGCTACGTACCACTTAACTCTGGATGCGCATTTCGAGCCTTCGGATAGTTTGCGTGGCAGGATCTGGCGTGAGTTCTCCAAGCGCACACTTTCAGTGATTGAGGTGAAGCGTGTCAAGAGCCGCTTGGCCCAGCCTTCGGCAAGCGAGACAGTCAAGTTGCAAGACACGTCCCGGGGATCCCTTAGCCTGTCGTTTGCTCTTGATCCTGAGACTCCTGTGTGAGACATTGTCAGCTACTATTTCGGACTTCGCATCTTGATCAACGCTGGGTCGTTTTCCGGAAACTCTCTGCCCCAGGGGCCCGATGGCCGTGAGGCGAGATTCTTCTCCAGGGCGGCCAGGGATCTGTCACATGGCTTCACCGTAGTGACATGCTCACTTGAAGAAAGGTGGCCTCCAAGGACAAGCGCGGCATGCTGACGGGGAGTGCCATCTCGAGTGGACCCCGAACAGGGTCTTGGAAGGATCGTGCAGCCGATCTCTGAAGTCGACAGTGCTGCCGCCCACGGGCTCGTGCCAGCATTCAGTGACTTTCGTGGGTGCCATGATCGCAAGTGCCAGTTTGCCCACGTGTGCGATGTTAAGGGCTGTGGCTCCAAAGACTACTGGGTCTCGGCGGGCCTGTGGCCTCTTCCCATCCGGCGTGCACTCATGCTTTGGCTTTGGAAACTGAGGAGGCAGGCTCTGTTGTGCCGTCTTGAGCTCACCTTCTTCTGTCCAAGGAAGCCCGATCGGCCGTCAGGGTTTGTTGTCAAAGGCGGATGCTACTTTGCCATCTGATGCTGAAGACTTGGCATCTTCAGCCCTGCGTCGGCATGCCTTTTCCGAGGACACCTGCCTTCAAGTTTTGCGTACTGCTTTTCAGCGCAATGCTCCTGTCACTGGCTACTTTCGCGTGGGCTTGGTTCCTAACCACTCTGTGTGGGGACCTACTTCTTTCTGCAAAACCATGCCGATTGTTGTGCGTTTTTTTGGCGTCTTTTGCTCGAATGCTGTGTGGTTCGCTGTGGCAGTCTCAGCCACCCTTCCTACCGAGGTCCATTGTGACAACAGAAACGAGCCGGCGTCTCTCAACACCCTTGTGTGGAGGTGGAGTCTGGATAGCTTGATTCCTTCCGCGATCACCCGGTAAATTGACCCCCGCTGCCTGCCTCCCCAACCTCCACCGCCGAGGCGTGTTAGGCTCCAGTCGGATGACCCCTCTCGGTCTGTTGCGACTGCTGCCGAACCCCGAGCTGCATCGTCGTGAAGCAGGGATCGATGTCAGTCTCATCGCAGCTAGTTGCTGCACGCCCTGTGACGTGGAGGGGCAGTGGCGAGCTCTTGCAAGTGCCTTGTCATTGATCTTTGTGCCGGCGTGAGTGGGCTATGTGTGACCATGCTGTCCCTGCACTTTCAGTTTTTGTTTACACGTTGGCCGCTGAGAAGGATCCCATCGCTCCACAACGTGCCCCTGCAGTCATGCCTAGAGTTGTGCACATGGAAGAGGTTGCTGATGTGTCTGCGTGTGTCTCTTATCTTGCCCTTCTTGGCACGGCAGAAGATTCGAGGCAGTACAGTGGGCGGAGGCAGCCCTTGTCAGGGGAACAGTTTTCTAAACAAGCGGCGCCAGGACTTGGCAGACGATCGTTCCATGCAGCCTGCCTTACGAGCCTCCTTAGTCCGGGACCTGCGAGCGCATGAGTCGCAGGCCACACAACACATTGATGTTCTTGCATTTTTGGAGAATGTGGCAGCTGCACCTCCCGAAGTGCTCACTGGATACAGTGACTGGTGGCAGGTGCCTCCCATCCGCATGGACGCTGCCTCTTGTGGATGGGTTAGCCCTTGGAGGGCCTTCTGGGTCTCGAGCCGTACGGGTGGCCTGCTGCCCCAACACGACCCACCGGAGGACTGGTCTTGGACATCCGCTGACCCTCCTTTCTGCGGGATGAAATACTAAGGCTCCAAACCCGTGCCGCAGCGCGCGCCCTCTGAACAGCAGTTTAAGCCTCTTTAGAATCTCAGTGACATTTTGCGAGCACAAGCCAAACCGTTCTTTGTTGTCAGCTGCGAATTCTTCCACCCCTGTGATCACTTGCGCGGCGCCTCCCCGCATTGGTCACAATGCACATACCAGTCTGCTGGAGACCATTCGTATCGTCAGCGTTGACTTTGTTGAAAGCTGTGCTCGTGATGTCTTTCATGCAGTGTTTGTGCTTGTGATCAAAGAGTGCCTCCTCCTCTCTGTGACTGGCTGTGCCTGCGCCTGGGCACTGACGATTTGCCCGACCAGACGCTTATCGAGGCCATCCTGTCAAGGACCAACTTCTTCGGTTCAGTGTTGTGGCAAGTTGTGGCTATCTGGGTGCCCCAGGAAGGTTTGGCGGTTCACGATTCCGCATGCCCCTACTGCTGCCTGCCGGCGTATGGTGTCCGCGGCGGCTGCTGCTTACTTCGATGATGAGTTGTCGCCGGAGTTCATCAGAGACGCGGACATTTCTCAGGCTGGCTTGCACCTCATGGGCAGCCCCCCTCAACCAAGGAAGATGTTCTGGGCAGCTGCCGGCCGCTGCTATCTGGGTGCGTCTGTCCATGTGGGTCTGGCTCACTCTGAGGGAATCAACAGGGTGCAGCCGAAATCGTCGTCGGTGCACAAACTCCTGCGAGAAGATTGATTCGGGCCTTGGTGTCAGGCGGGCTGTCTCGCGATGATGCGGGCAAGCTGAGGGGTGATGTTCAGTGGCTCTTTTCCTGCTGTGTAGGCTCTGCTGCTAAGTTCGCTGGGCCTTTGTTGGAGAAATGTCAGTATGGCGATGACCCGGAGCTCAGTGACCGGGACAGATTAGTCCTGACGGCTTTGCGGCCTTGGCTTGCCAGTCGCCGCCTCGGGACATCAGCTTTTGGGCTGTGCACGCACCTTGCGCATGGGTGTACTCGGATGCTTCGTTCGAGATTGATCAACTTCGACTGGGATGGATCATGTTCCCGCCTCGGCCACACGGAGGCACGTGTGCTGTGCCGCCTGAGGTTGTTAATGAGTGGACTCCGAGGCGCCAGCAAATCTTCCCTGGTGAAGCCCTTTGTCTGCTCATTTTGCCACTCGTGCGCCCTGAACTTTTCCAGTCTCGGGACATTCTGTGGTTCATTGACAACCAGGCGGCGGTTGCAGCTGCTGTAAAGGCCACCTCCCGAGGAAGACGTGTTTGAGATTGGGGACATGGCGAGTATACTGCGTAGCAAATTGGCGTGCAGATGCTGGTTTGAGTGGGTGGACTCGGATTCCAGCCCGAGTGATGGTCTCTCTCGAGACGGTTCGCAGGATGCTTGGACAGGCACGCAGAGTTGGTTCCTGCAGAGCTTTGCTTTTGCAGCGGTCGCGCGTAGAATGCAGGTTCGCTGCGACCTGCTACGAGCATGAAACAGTGGGAGTGAAACTGTGGGGTTGCTGACTTTGGAACCTTACTCAGGTGCCCAAGCAGCCCTTTGCACCTCAGGTGTATGCTTTACATCATCACCTGATCTACCCAATGTCTTGGACATTCTTCCACTGCTTCATCCTCTCATCAACCCTGAATTATTCATGACGTAGCACGAAAATGGAAATGGACGATGAGCGAAGATGAGGACGTACCCCCAGTTGCCCCCGCCGGGGCCCAGGGCGGATGCAAGCAGTTACGTTTAGGGGTGTGGAACAGAGCTTCGGCGGACGGAATTCCTCCACACCCCTCAGCGCCCCTGCTGCTAAGTAGAAGGAAAACGAAAAAATAAAAGACCAGATAACCCCACATTTTAGCGAAAGACTTGACAGCAATTGCAGAAACAGTGAGTGAGTGAGTGAGTGTGTGAGTGTGAGTGTGAGCGTGAGTGAGTAAGTGAGTGCGTGGGTGGGTGGGTGGGTGGGTGGGTGGGTGGGTGAGTGTGTGTGTGTGTGTGAGTGAGTGAGTGAGTGAGTGAGTGAGTGAGTGAGTGCGTGCGTGCGTGCGTGCGTGCGTGCGTGCGTGCGTGCGTGCGTGCGTGCGTGCGTGGGTGGATGGGTGGGTGAGTGAGTGAGTGAGTGAGTGAGTGAGTGAGTGAGTGAGTGTGTGTGTGTGTGTGATTGTGTGTGTGTGAGAGAGTGTGTGTGTGTGTCTGTGAGTGAGTGAGTGTGTGAAAGTGTGTGGAATGACCCTACCCCGCGACGCGACCCCTCCCTCCCTCCTATCCTACCCTACCCCCTACCCGACCTCGACCCCTTCTCCTCACGGCAGCCCACACCACGCGCACTCGGGTCGCCTCGGCCTCCTAAAGCGGCGCGCTCGGGTGTGTTTGCAAACGGGCGCAAGAGTCTAAGCAAGAGCTTGCAGCAAGAGAGGATCCTACGAATGGGTCAGTAGCTTGCTGCAAGTATAAGTCAAACGCAGCGGACCCATCAAATCTGCGCGAGGCCACTATTCACAACAGAATAACGGGGGGTCGGGGGGGGGGGTGGGAATATGTAGGGTCGGGGCCCCGAGGAGCTGATTTGAACATGTGGGGGGTTTAAAAGAAACAGGGGGGACACTAGCACATGGTTGGGGCGGAATATGAGGGGTCGGGGCCAGAACAAGGACGCCGGGGGGCTGACTTGAACATGTGGGCGGTTAAGAAAAAAGGGGGGGACACCAGCACATGGTGGGGGGGGGACCGATTTGAGCATGAGGGGGGTCAGAAAACTAAGGGTGGGGGCAATAGCACATGGATGGACGATGAACGAAGATGCAGACGCATGCCCCAGCTGCCCACGCCGGGGCCTAGGGCGGATGCAGGCAGGTACCTTTGCTTGGGATGTGGAGGAAAGCTTCGATGGACGGAGCTCCCCCACACCCCCTCGGCCCCCCTGCGAAGTAGAAGGAGAACGAAGAGAAACTGGAGTGACCCCCCACAGCCCATGAACATGGGCAGTTCACATACTCGCACACATACATAGAGACACTTTCGTTTCTCCTCGGGTACAGGCTGGCAAAGGACTTTGGTCAACGGCAGCTTCGATACATCTACGAGCGGTTGTTGTTTTGTAGCCAGCAAAGCATGATGTGAGCGCAGTTGTGGTCATATGTTAGCAGGTGTCCAAAGGCGACGAGACTTTGACTTTTTTCACTTTGCCGGAGTATGAATCTTGGAAGAGAGCGCTGGCCCAAGTGTGTGCTCCTGTTTGGAAGTGTCTCAAGCTGCGATGAGTTGTTCCCACATTTTCATTTATGAAGGCCAACAGTGATGGGCGCGGATGGAAATGCAAGTACTACAAAGGCCACCACGCAGCATCGTAGGCCACAAGAGCACAGCAAGTGTAGAGAAGCCGGTGACTTTGTCTTCCGTCATCGTCAATCGTCATGAATACGACAGGCCTGGGCACATCGACAAGCTCAGAGGCCAAAGAGTGCCCGCAAGATATGTGCAAACAGTGGCAGTGTTGCATGGAACCGCAGCCCGCAACAGTTGTTTTCCAGTTGATGCTTTATTGACGTTTGAGGTATTTTGCAGATCTCGAAGAGCATGAGCTACAGTTCACGTACTCAGGCTCAGTGTGCTCGCCCCGCAAGCAGACAGGCCAAAAGCTCCCTGCAGGAAGCCGTGATGATGATCTCATTGATATGGCCTTTGCCGCCAAGAGGCGTGTCTTGTAGCCTAATTCTGATCCTCCATTTCGACGAGTTGAGGTCTGATGACCGCAAGGTCTGGATCTCAAGCGTGGAGGCCCCATCTGGTAGATTGTCGGCCAAATGGTGGACGTAATTGCATGACAGGAAGGCACTTTCGTGGATCATTCACAGCCCACATTGAGTTACTCCGACTTCATCGAGAAGGCCCTCCTGCACCGACAAAATGCGTAAACCCTGATGCTCAGCACGAGAAAGGAGCTTTCTTTGTTTGCCAAGTACGACGTGGAGCGTGCAGTGCAGCACCCTCGAGCTCCGCCCCAGACAAGCCGCACAAGAACTCGCAAAGGTTCAAGGGCTTTGGAACAAAGTCACTTGTGTATGTTTTGCCAAGGCCTTCCCTTGTCGACGGTTTGAAGCCCGGGCAGCGCAAGGTGACGGCTGGGCCGACAACTGCGACATCCCGTAGTCGGGGTGCTGTCAATCGAATGCCGTTGTTCTAGCGTTGTTCTGTTTGCCATCGTTGGCCCCGTCGCAGTTATCATCAGGTGGCAGGCGTTGTTCATCCGAAGCAGCTTGCATTTTACTTGAATTTGTCTCTTAGCAGGTCGGCTGGAAGCCCTCGAAAGCTTACTAGTAGCATTGTTGACATTTTTCCCGGGGTCGAATGACAATTCCATCAACAAGAGCGCCGAAGAGTGGAAGTCCGCGGCAGGTCCTGTATGGATCCTTCAAGAAGAAGCTCACCAACGAGATCAAGGTGGCGCAGCTTTCAGGCGTGAAGCTGATCAGCTTGCGCTCGGCCCTGTTCCTTTGTCCGAGGGAACTGTAGCGCAAGATTGGCAAAGTATTCCTGTCCAGACTCGCATAGACTCCGATCCTGAAGAACTGAAGGTCGGTGCTTCCGCAGTGACAAGAAGCACATGCTCTCAGAGTCTCCAATCAGAGCCAGCAGTAGCTAAACTACTACTTTTATCTTGCACAGATATGCAGAGATCATGTGAATACCTCGTGCACCTTCTGTGCAACTTTCCTCAGGCATGCGATTCGTTGTTTGTGTGACTTCCTCACCTTCATATTTCAACAGCTTCAACACATCTGGACATGTTCATGGCAGACCGGCAAGTTCTTCGTTCCTTTGATTTTCGGTGTCTTTTCACACCTTGTTTAAGCCAGTGAAGCCACTCAAGCGATATTGCTGAATGACATGTTTTGTGCACGGCACTTCAACCTTCATAGTCTGAGCTATCTTGAAGGCTACGTGGCCGAAACCTCGGCATACCACCACGGTGAGGCTTCTTTGCAGGCAGGCCTGACAAGACGAGGAATCAGTCAGTCAGTCAGTCAGTCTGTGTGCGTGCGTGCGTGCGTGCGTGCGTGCGAGCGAGCGAGCGAGCGAGCGAGCGAGCGAGCGAGCAGGGCTCGATAGACATACAAGTCAGTGGCTGCGCCATGGATGCTTAAGTGTGAGTGCATGTGTGTGTGTGTGTGAGAAAGAGTGGATGTCAGTGCAGCCTGAAGAAGCGAATGCTAATGTGCTGCACGAGCATTAGTAGCGTGTTGAGTCTGCAACATCCGACAGAGTCGACTGTGCACGAGTGGTACCGGATCGGTTTTGGTGGTGCAACAAGCAAAGACATGCTCAATGGTTTTCCCAAGCATGGTTTTGCCGGCCAATCGATCTGCAATGTGCTTGCATGATGTTCGGGACTGGGGCAGGGCACCATCATCGCCATGGCCCAGACATTCGTCGGGAGCAATAATGTGCTTGATCCGAGCTTCTAGCTGCTGTTGCTGTGTATGCCAAAGTTGCTCTTGGAACTCGTCAGCAATGCTTCGCATGGTGTTGATGAGATCAACCTCTTCGAGCCGCGGGGCCAGTTTGGATCCAGGCTACAAGGCGGAAAGGCACCGAGAGGGCACCCGTGAAGAACCTCGGTGATTGCCACCGTTGTCCAACATGCGGCCACACAGCTGCGTTTCGCAGGACCATGCTGCAGCCCGTTACATCTTCACGTGCCTCTGCAAGGCTCGCAATGCTTCCCGAAGGAGCTATGCTTTTCCTGAGCTTTCCCAACCCCCGCAATGAGGACCTCAATAAAAGTGGTATCATAGGTCGAACCAAACCGTGCGAGAGAGGGAGAGAGAGAGAGTGTGTGTCAACCGCTCTAGCACATCAGCCCAGGGGAGTCACGTCCGGTTTTCGGCATCTCCATTGACATGGCATGCAACACCTCTGCTTCTCACAGCTTCTGCACGTTTTCCATTTTACGCACGGCGGTGCTTGCTCCCAGCCGCACAAACAAACCTGTGGAGCAGGGGTGGAAAGGGTCACTGACGAGTGACGTTGCACCTGCACAAAGTAACGGTGCGCCGTGGACGTTGGATCGTAGCTTGGGCACCTGCATCTATTTTCCAGCTGTTTTCATCCTTCAAAGCAGGTTCTCAGGTAGTGCTCGAGCGTATTGTTGGATTCAGCAGTATGGGCCGGGATTGCACATCATGAATAGCAGCTGCACATGGAACTTTCGGCTATATGAAATGCTTGAAAATACTTGTAATACTTGTTGTACTCGTACTCGTCGTCGTAGTAGGAGTAGTTCCTAACCGTAGTACCAGTCATAAAGCCTGTATGTAGGGTTGTAGGGCCCGCAGAGTAAAGACCCGTAGGGGCCCGTAAAGACCCGTAGAGCCCGTGCATCCCGTAGGGCCCGTAGAGCCCGGGCCCGTAGCGCCCGTAGAGCCCGTAGGGCCCGTGGGGCCCGTAAAGCCCGCACGGCCCGTAAAGCCCCACAGAGGGCCTATAGAGGCCCGCAGAGGGCCCGGGCCCAATATGGTACCCTTCTCGCAGCACCTTTTAGCAAGTCTTGAACGTTAGGTTCGATGCCTTGAACAGCTTTGTGACTACCACTACTGCTGTTGAAAGTTTCCATCCTCCTCACTCGTATTGCGATCAAATGCGAACGGTCTTGGAAACGACATGGCTTGAAACATATTTGGCTTTCGGTTTTGGTGGGCTTGGCTTCATCAGGGTGGGGTTTGTGGGGAGGCTTGCCCGCCCTGCCCCCAGTGGACATACTACACAAGTAGGGCAACACCATTTAAGGTTTTAAAGAGACTTGCACAGATCCTTGCGATAGTTTGTTTTGATGTTAACTGTGGCTGGTGGCAGGGGATAGGGGGGCTTCCCCAATGCACAGCTGCTAGTGATAGGCTCCCAAAGATCACAAACACAGATGCGCTCCTTGATCATAGCACCAGAGTGGTCTAAAACTCATCGGAGTGTTGCCATGAACCCGAGACTCTGGAATGATGCAGAGGAACCTGAGAGACAGAGTCGTGATACACCTTGCTTGTTAAAGTCCACCTGCCATCCTGCAGGATCCAGGTGCAACTCGCGCAGGCACCAAAGCCTGGGTTCCTTGCCCACAAAGTCGGTAGCTTCGTTGGACAAGGTCCCAACTGTTTGAAATCAGGCTTCCATGTATGTTCTACCAGTTCTGCCCGATAAGAAAGATTGCGAGGGAGTTTTTCATACTCTGCTGTGGTACTTTTCGAATCGCAGCCTTGGGCACATGAATCGCAATTGAATGATGGTATGTGGCCTTTGAGCCACTTCCTCGTTTGTCGTTCGAAGCCACGATGCACCAAAGGCACAACAAATACTAGTCGAGACGAACAAGGCCAGCACATGTTCTGTTGAAGCACATAGCAGATGGCAGAAATCTCCTGATGCGATTTCTGTCGGGCTGCTCCACACAGTTGCTGAGTTTGATGAGAGCATAGATCTGCTGGACACATTCCAAGCTTGTTCTGAGGAGCTATCTGTAATCAAGCTCCCTTTGCTCTTTTGCATCCTCTTGCGCAGTTTCCACTGTAGCTGCAGCCCGAAGGTTGCACATGCGGCCTGACGTCTTTCCTAAGATGCGGTGTGTCTCAACGCAGCTTTCTTGACGAATTGCATTGCGAAAGGAAAACTCAGCTGTCTGTTTGCCATGCACAAGTGCCCATGCTATCTGGCAGTTAGCACGGCGCTGAAGGGAAGAAATAGCAAGCCCATGCTCCTGCGGTAGCCAGCAAAAAAAGCTAACAGCACCCGAAGCGCTGGGCAGCAAATTTCTCTAACCCCCTAATCTGTGTTTTCTGACTCCCTCCCTGTTTTTGACTGTTTTTTCTGACCCGTGATCCTGCTTCGTGACTGCTGAACCTGCTTTTCTTACCCCCTTCTGACTCTTTTCTGACATCCTCTTTTTCTCTGGCCTTTCTAGCCTCCCTCCTGGGTCTTTCCAGATGGGCATCTAGATACCGGGCTCATTTCATTGCATTCACCAACGACGGTATGTGTATAGGTATGTGTATGCATGTGTACATACAGACTGAAATACCGTATGACAGCGCATGTGTGTTCACGTATATATGTATCCAGGCATCTAAGCTTGAGTATACATAGTGTCACAGTGACAACAGGTAAATATGTCGAATTATGTAGTACGTGACCATACATTATTGTAAGTATATTATGACAGAATATATATATTTATATATATATATATATAGATAGACAGTCACCAGATAGGTGCACAAACACATGCGAATTCATTGGGGCCTTAGGGTTTGTTCCTTTGGGCAAAACCCTCATTTGTTCGTGCCTGCAACGAGATGACCGAAAACTAAAATATCCAAAAGGAATGGCGGAATCTCACAAAAAACGATCCCTGATACTAGATGATAGGTGATAGAACCATGATCCAAACTGTGGAGAGGATAGGGGCATCTTCCACAACCTACGAAGGACTACTCTGACCACCCTCAAGATCACACACGGCCTTAACAGGATATGTCTAAGAACCGTAACTAGGTTGGCAAACCTTCAATTTTGGGGTTATAGCGGCTAGGGCTAGGGATGATGGACTCCAGACAGCACAGACATCGACAAGACCACAGCAAGCACTGAAAAACGGTTCGGAAGACTGGTCCCACAGAGCTCATAGGACTAGAATGGAAGAGTGGTTCGAGAAAAAACATAGCAAGTATAAGTAGAAATAATGATTCATTCGCAAAAAGCTTAAATGCTATTCACTAAATGTTGAATCGTATATTACATGCAGGAGATGAACCTCAAGCACCAATATGACGGCTGAGCTCCCACAACCCCACACTGGGCAGGTTGGGTGACAATTCCCCAACGTCAAAGCAAGTAACGGGATTTGAACCGTCAACCTGACTGATCCCAAAGCATTCCAAATCCTGACCCGAGATGATGAGTGGCATGTCCTGAGGAAATGGTTGGAGACAAACCCAAAATCCGAAGCTTGACAAGAGCATGGTGGAGGATGAACCGTAAACGCAGCAGTTCGATCTTAGCTGCAAAGGCGTCAAATGTAAGACTTTGCAAAGGAATATGGATGACAAGCTTTAAAAACCTGTTGAGTACTGTGAAACGCAAGGTGGCGCACCCGAATACTCTGAACTTGTGGCTAGGTAGCAGAAACCCGAACTTCTATTATATGATTGAAGTTATCACCTGCCATTCAGTATGATAGTTTACACAAGCTTAAGAAAGATCCCGTCATCGCGTTTGAATTTATTACTGGCGGACACGTTCTCTATATAATATGTAGATTAAAGAAAAATACAACAACATAAGTAGTGCATGGTTCAATATGAAAAAAGAAAACTATATGGATATGCGATACAGAAATCTTATAATGTATATACATAACACATAAAGAAGATACTTAATGTACAATACAAAATACATACTTGCTGTGTTTATGTTTAACACGAACAGCATATGATATAAAGTTTTTACAACATAGGACTAACAATATGTAGTCAATATTTTGCTTTAAAAATGAAAACAGTTGAGATATGATTTCAAAGCAAGAGAAACGATAATGACACACACACATATATATATATATACACGTACCAATTGCAACGTAGTTTGAGAATATTTATTGCATGAAATGTATGATATACATATATAAGAAAATGCAGTACAATAGCAGAAGACATATGAGTACACACACACACATACGCATATATATATATGTGTATATATATCTATATCTATATCTACATATATATATATATAGTAATGATGTGTGTACATATACACATGTAGACAGATATGATAATTACATAATAGCGTAGCATGCATCTGATATGTCCTGTATACTATATAATAATTTATAGTGTGTTATGCACAACTCTAACGTTTAATATTTTATGTTTACTGTTAAGTACATAACAGAGAATATCATATGGTAGTTGATCTAAAGCTCCTTGTGGCATAATTTGTTTTGAAACGACAACTGCATAGTTAAATTTTCTTCGCGAAAGTTTCGCGATGGTTTTGTTAAAGGTAATTTTTCTGTCAAAGTTATCTGTTTAGCCTGCTTGCCGTACTAATTATTACTATTACTGCTACTGTTAATATTTCTACTACTACTGCTACTATTACTACTACTACTACTACTACTACTACTACTACTAAGCACCTGGGCTCACAGTGTCGCCCCCTGCGTGTGCACTTACAAAGTAGAGTCGAATCATGGCATTCCTTGTACTCGTCGCTGTCCCTGTCCTCTCCTTCTGGCTCAGCCTGTCCGTGCCACCTCAGCCCGTCTCGGTATGTGGCCCGACACGAGGGCGCGACCCTCAGCAACCAGTTCGGTGGAAGCCATCTCCCTTCTGTTATGCTGTGCACCAATGCGTAGCCCCGCAGACAGGAAACACGACAGATGTGGCTCCCAGTGTAGGGCGAAGGTGCATGGACACTCGATGGCCGGGTATAGGCTTACAGGATTCTCTGGTAGGACGGCCCTGCTCAGTGCCTGCAACATGCCACCGAAGGCTGCACGGAAGAGAGGGACCAAAGCAGCGGCAGCTAAGGCCAACACCGCAGGCCCCCCAGACAGCTCAAGCGAGGACCCCTTCCCTTCGCTCTCCTCTGGGGAGTCGGTTCCGGAAAGGGGACCGCCTGCAGGACCGCCGCCTCCGCGCCCGGTCCACATGCCAGCTGCGGCAGAGCACATGGTGTCCACTCCGTCTCGGGGACGCAGCAGGACTCCGGTGGAAAGAGCC